GGACACCCCTGGTTTACTCGCATTGAGTTTGTGAATATTCATGTGTGTGTGTGGGCCGTGTGCTGTCTGTGCCGCACGGGTCACCTGAAGCATGCAGTGTAAACGCAGACATCAGTAAACTCCCGCACACGTGGTCAGTCTGTGTGTGTGTGTGTCACCGCTGGCCCCCGCTCACTGTGAGTGCCAGTATGGGCTCCCTGCTGTGTTTGGGGTCCGTGCTGCAGGCCCGAGGGCCCGTGCTCTCCTCGCTGTCAGTGTCCCCATAGCAGCTGGATCCAGAGGATGCGGTCAGCAGCAGCAGCGAGTGTGTGGAGGGTGTGTGTGCATGTGCGCGCTGACCCGTCTCCTCCGGCTGGCTCTGGTCGTTCAGCAGCTGCTCCAGGAAGTCGATGTACTTCATGGCGAGCCGCAGGATCTCGTTCTTGCTCAGCTTTCGGTCCGGCGGGTGCGTCGGGATCAGTTTGCGCAGCTCAGAGAAAGCGCCGTTCACGTTCTGCTGCCGCCAGCGCTCGCGGCTGTTGGTGAAGACACGCCGAGCCAGCTTCTGAGGAGGACCTGAAGGAGAACCACACGCACAAATCAACACACTATATTCAACTAAAGATGGATACGACTGCACACGGCTAATCACACGACTCACACTATCTGATGAGTGTATATATATATACAGTATATTATAAGGTAAATATTTTGCATAATAAACTCCACCTTCAGTTTATAATCTGACTGAATTGAATTGCATCTGCGTATGTCAGCATGCTGCACTGATGATTTACAGTGTTGTGCTTTGATTTATTTGAATATTTTGATATGAATCAAAATATTTAATATTTGAAATTATGTTTAACTTTTCTTTTTCAGGGGAATTTGATTTGTGAAATATAGAATGTTGTGTTTGTTATTAAAATGATGAAGCATTAAAACATTTAATAACTCTAAAAGCCTCAAAGTTTGACCAAATAACTGAGTTCTTCTGGAGAAAGAGATTTCTTTTGTCCATGCTTTGAGGTTTAGAGGCATTTCATGTAATGTTGAATAATGATTCAATGAATAATTCAGTAATTTAATAACTGTTACTATTATTAGTAATCTGCAATTATTTTCTGAAGTCATCAAATCATCTTTATTGACACAACCTTCACTTCTAATGTGCTTTTACAATACAAATAGTGTCAAAACAATAAGGATTGCACACACACACACACACACACACACACACACACACACACACACACACACACACACACACACCTCACTGCTACAAATCACTGAACACACTGTGTCCTCATCATCATAATGACTGATAAACAGACTGATGAATGAAGCCGTGTACCGTCTGATCTGATCTCCACCTCGAAGTGTGTGGACGGACGTCTCTTCATACGAGCGTTACTGAAGATCCCGAATCCTGCCGGCGGCATGAGGAAAGAGCTGAAACACACATCACCACAACATCAGGACGAAACCAAGAGCAAACTCCATCAACTACCAACAGATGAGCTGCAGAACACGGCAATGTGGAGATAAGCTGAGGCTCAGTGATCCACAGGACAAACACTGACTACAGTATCAGTGCATCTCAAAGCTTCTGGATTGCAGAGTCCACTAAAGGAGGTCAAGCCTTCTCATTTATGGCTCCTGGAACAGTTCAATTCAATTCAATTCAGCTTTATTTGTATAGCGCTTTTACAATGTAGATTGTGTCAAAGCAGCTTCACATAAATGGTCATAGTAACTGGAACAGTGTAGTTCAGGTTTTAGTGTTTAAGTTCAGTTCAGTTTAGCTCAGTTCAGTGTGATTTAATCATTACTGAGAGTTCAAACACTGAAGAGCAAATTCATCGATGCGCAGCTCTACCAATCCTGAACAGTCTTCCTGATCATGCTCAAACACACTCTCCCAGCTCAACACTACAGTCAAGACACATCTGTTTAGTGATGCACACACACTGCAGCACATTACACGTATACATGTGTGCAGCAGACACGTTTTTATAAATACCTCTCTGTTTTATACTTGTTTCTATGCTTATTTACATAACTCTTATTGTCATTTATAGCGCTTCATCTTCACATTGACTATCCCTTGTTGAAATACACTATGAATAGCAGCTGCGCTAATTAGAGATCCAGGACATGTGAAGAGATGATGCCGACCATCGAGGACCTCCATGACAACACACACACACACACACACACACACACACACACACACACACACACACACACACACACACACACACACACACACACACACACACACACACACACACACAAATACACACAAATACACTCCACTGAGCATGTACACACACACATCAGTTATCTCCAGGATGTCTGTTTCTGTATAATAAAGCCGTTAGTTAGTTATTAGTAAAGGTTATACTGATGAAGTAACTCATAACCTGCACTCTTCTGAGCAGTATGGTGGTGCAGTAATGTGCTCCTGTAAAGCTGCTTTGGGTTAGATGTTTATAGATATTCTACAAATAAGCCTGATCTGGACTGAATGATGAAGCGGGGGTCACCTGCTGATGAAGGGGTGCGTCTGCAGGAATGCTGGAGGCAGGAGCGCCGCGGCAGGGCTGGAGCCCGTCAGACAGGAGAGCTGCGCCAGCCGGAGCTCCGCGGGGCCGTGCGGGGGAGGGGGTGCGGGGTGCAGAGCCGCCAGCAGGGGCAGCGGGGGCAGCGGTGGTTTACTGTGCGCCAGGCTGATGACGGGGATGTGTGCAGGCAGAGATGCGGAGCTGGAGCCCCGTCTGCTGTCTGTGGTTGTGCAGTGAGGACTCCGGCTGCTGCTGCTGCTGCTGCTGCTGCTGCTGCTGCTGCTGCTGCTGCTGATGATGATGATGATGATGATAGGAGAAACAACACTGATCAAAACAACTGAACCAAAATCATTCTGTCTAGATGTGTTAGAAACACCATGTGATACAGACACACGAGAGTTAAAACCTGCAACACAAACTCAGGCAAAACACCCACTAAAACTGACCTTCACACACATACTGCAAACTCAATCACATGCAAAACATGCTAGTGTGTGTATTCATTATCTATATATATATCTACACACATGCATGCTGATATGAGAAAACCTTTATTTATATATATATATATATATATATATGATTGAAACTATTTATAAATTTAAATATCTATGCAAAAAGGTTCATTTTCATGTACAGTTGAAGTCTGAATTATTCGCCCCGCTTTGAATTGAGTTTTCTTTGCTAAATATTTGCCAAATACTGTTGAACAGAGCAGGGAAAAGTTCACAGTGTGTCTGATAATATTTGTTCTTCTGGAGAAAGTCTTATTTGTTTTATTTGGGCTAGAATAAAAGCAGTTTTTAATAGTTTTAAAGCCATTTTATGGTCAATATTATTCACCCCTTCAGCAATATTAGTGTTGGATTGTCTCCAGAACAAACCACTGTTATACAATGACTTGCCTAATTACCCTAACCTGCCTAGTTACCCTAATTACCCTAGTGAAGCCTTTACATGTCACTGTAAGCTGAACACTAGTGTCTTGAAGAACATCTAGTCTAATATGATGTGCTGTCATCATGGAGAAGAGGAAACACATCAGCTATTAGAGATGAGTTATTAACACTGTTATGATTAGAGATGTGTTCTCTGTTAAACAGAAAACATGGAAAAAATAAACAGAGGGGTGAATAATTCTGACTTCAACTGTGTGTGTGTGTGTGTGTGTGTGTGTGTGTGTGTGTGTGTGTGTTGAAGCTTCATAATCAGTGTTTGTAAAGCAGCCGTCACTACCGTCTGCTGTCGGTCTCGGCCCCTGTGGCCCCCGGCTCCTGTGTGTCCTGAGCTCTGGGTTCTGCATGATCTGGCGGTGTTGAACACGCGTGTGCTGGGGGATCCGGCTGGAGGACAGATGGAGATGCTGGAGAAGAGCGGGGTGGATGCTGCTCCTCCATCAGCAGCGCTTCTCCATCATCACTGCTCATCTGGAGGATCAC